TATATATATATATATATATATATATATATAAATCATAAAAATGCTACTGTCCCAAACCATAACTTTGTCTAAAAACGTAATATGCATCACTTGTGCTATGGTACATTTTATTATTATAAATTATTTTATAATTATACAAGTATAATGTATAGTTATATAATGTATATGAAAGGAGAATTGTAGTGAGATGCGTTTTTGTAAGCATGTTTTAACTGAAACTGGAGTTTTCCTCCAAAATAAAAGCTCTACTGCCGTTTCCGTCAAAATAAAAGCTCAAAAGTGCAGTATGAATTGCTGACAGCTAGGGGTTTAAATGGGTAATGTTACTGCAGTCCAAATTCAAAATATCTCTAAAGAAGTATTGTAATTTCCCTACTGTAGTGTAAAGCAAAAATAATATACCTATGAAATATTCATTTTCATTTATTTTACAGTGCAATTGTTTTACAATATATGGCCATTACTGTCATTGTTGTTATTATTCTATTCTAATTTGTTTGGCTTCCTAAAACCCCAGTGTGAATGTAATTTAGACTGAGACATTATATCACAAATAAAAAGAGGGTTGAGTCCCCTTTAAAGTTCAGGTGCAAGTCAGTTCACTGACTTTTTTTCTGACTTGAAGGGTTAGTTCACCCAAAAATAAAAATTAGTCCCATGTTTTACTCACTCTCAAGGCATCCTAGGTGTATATGACGTTCTTCTGCTTTATAATGCATGGTTGGGTGTTTTTGTTCAACAGTCACAAAAGTAGTCAACTAAAGCGCATCCATCCATAATAAAATGTGCCTCACATGGCTCCGGGGGGTGAATAAAGGCCTCCTGTAGCAAATCGACGTGTTTTTATAAGAAAAATATCCATAGTTAAAACAATATATACACCTTTCTTTCACTTCTACTAACTGTCGTAGGTGGTAGCATTTCCGGCGGATGACGTAGGACGTCTGTGTAGCGCACGCGCCGGTGAATAGTGACGAGCGCGGAGGAGAGAGAACAAAATAAAATGCCGGTTACGAATTAGAAATACAAAACGAGGATTTGTAAAGAAAAATGTAGGAGTATTTCGATATAAGCCAAGAGGATACTGGTTTTCCTTTGCTAAAGTAAGGAAACTTTCATTCCTTTGTTCCTGTAATCAAATGTTGGTTTTCGCGAGGCTCACACGTGCATGCGCTATGCCTACATCAGGCAGTCTCTCGGGAACACACGTACAACAGTTAGCAGAAGTTACACAAAACTGTTTATATCATTTTAAATATGGATATATATATTTCGATTTTTCGCTTCGCTTCAGGAGGCCTTTGTTCTCCCCACGGAGCCGTGTAATGTGCATTTTAATATGGATGGATGTGTTTTATTTGACTACTTTTGGACTGTTGAACAAAAACACCTGCCCATGCCATTATAAAGCTTGGGAGAGCAAGGACAATTTTTTTTTATGTAACTCCGATTGGATTCATCTGAAAGAAGAAAGTCATATGCACCTAGGATGCCTTGAGGGTGAGTAAAACATGGGCTAATTTTCATTTTTGGGTGAACTAACCCTTTAAGTTTTCTTAGTTAAGAACATGGGTTGGAGCTCTTAATTTTAAACTCTCAAAGTGCATTAGATAGAATAATTTAACTTTAAAATGTACAAAAATTTATTTTTTTCCAATTCTTCATATATTTTTTTTAATATCGCAGTAGATATCGTACCGTGGACTTCATATCGTGATATTAGCGCATTGTGAGATTTTGATATCATTACATCCCTAATAGTTATATAATGTAAATGATTTAAATTATATAATCTATATTATTATTATAAATGATATATTATCAAAAAATTAGTTCGGCAAATATAACTGCTAAAAACAGACATTTGTCACAATGATCAAGTGGAAAACGCCCAAATGTTCATAACATTATATTAAATTATATTGCATATATTTAATTGTCTTACATTATATTGTTTTTCATCAACTGGTCAAAATTTACAGCAGGGCATAAAAATGATAAAGAGTGCATAACAGAAATACTCAAACTAAAATTAACATGAAAACTAACAATATAAAAATAAAAGCTACTTCAAAATATGAATACATATATTAATATAAATATAATACTATATAAATAATAAAAATGCTACTATCGCAAACATAACAGTCCAAATTTTTTTTTTTGCTATGATACATTGTATCATTATTATTATTTTATAATTATATGAATATAATAATTATATAATGTACTGTATATGATATAAATTATATTATCTATATTATACATTATATTATCTAAAAATTATAGGTAATGTATCTGCTAAAAGTGTCATTTGTCTCAAAGTGTTCAAGTCCAAATGTTCATAATAGTATAATATTAGCTAATCGATAGCTGACATATGACATGAGCGCAGCATACGATTTCTGTTGTCTGCACTGTCTTGTAACTAACACTATGATGCTTAACCCCTCTCACCATCTCTGACCTTCTTCTGCTGCTCAAAGTCAGAAATACGATGACTAACGTTTTCTCTCTCTCTGTAGTCTTCTAAAGAGGAGCTCGCTAAGTGTGTCCTGGCGGAGGTTCCTGGTCAGGTCGTCACCTTCTTTAACATGATGAAGCTCCCGCCTCTGAAGTCAAACACTCCAGTGGACGCTCCAAATGGGCCGACACAGAACTGAAGGACCTGTGAACTTCCTTCATACCACATACAACTCCACAACTGGACATCATCAACCTACTTATCTAACGTTAGGCCTTCTTAAAGAGATATAGCACTAGATACATGTGGTTTGTGTTGCTTTAAATGTCAGTTATTCCTTTATTTACTTTTTAAAAATCATTTTATATTCATTCACATGTTTTCTTCTGCCAAATGATCTTGCAACGGTCTATTATAGAGCTTGTTTGGACTCAAGTATCCTACTCTAAATGATCAGTTATTGAAAAAAAAAAAATCGGGAGGGAGTTTAAGTTTAAAGTCAACCTTGTTAGTGTTGCAGGTGAGATGACCGAATGGTATGAAGGCATTTTTTTTATCTCCAGTGTCATTCCCACTAACTCCTTACAAAATAGTTTACAGTCAGCATTATCTCATAAATATTTCATGTCATTATCATTCTTTACATCTTATATTTTTATATCTGTATATGTTTTTTAATCAGTGCCTCACAAAGACATTTCTTCATATATCTAATGCATTATTCCAAATTGACCACATTAATGTGCATGATAATATGCAGTTCCTATCCACCTTATTCTTCAACGTGGAAGTAAGCCTATGGGTGAGACTTCTGGTTCATTAGCCGCTGTAGGGGAATAACGAGAAGAATAAAAACATGCAGTAAATGCACTACAAACCAGTGTGTTCATAATTAAGATAATACATTATAATAATAAAGTTAGACACACCAATTTGCAATATCAAGCAGAAACGAGCTGTTTTGTACAGCTAAAAATAGCTGGACGCGGATGGCACCGGAAGCCAGTCCCATAAAAATTACAAATGGCTGCATCCGCTCTTACAGCAAGAATAAGGTGGATAAAAAAAATATGCATATATGTTTGATTTAATTCTATGGAAATCCCGTGGCAGCTTTTTACATTGCCAAGTTTTATTTTTGTGCAGAATGCACATAAAGCTAAAGCCACTGAGGAATGGTGCTCAGATCTCAATCTGTACAGATGAAAGCCATTGATACTGACATCTGGATGGGTCAGTCATCCTGTTATGTGCCTGAATGCACAATGCATAAATATGATAATAATATGCAAAGGTAATCAGCTTTTTGAATCAGTATTAACTGTTTTAAGATGCAAATTAAGTTTAGTTTGTTTTACATTTAATCACAATGTCTGTAACAGCACGTTGTGCTTAATTAGTGCTGAGAGGAATATATTAAATCATCTTAAATGTAATTTAAATAAAACTAATTTTGTTTCATCAGATGCAGTATCATTATAATGTAATGTGTCAGCTCAGCAGTTGCTGATATGTCTTGCATCTGTGTGCCTGTATTATGCCTTGTTTCACATACATACAATAAAACACCAAAACGTGGATTGTTTATGATTTATTCGCAATATTATCAAGATGCAATAAATAAAGATGACAATGAAACTACGTATTAAATATTTTATTTGAATTTTATGAAAAACATTGACCTATTTACAATATGCAAAGGCCAGGAAAACCCATGCACCATGACTGCCTAAAGTGCTGAACAGGTTGGGTAATAAGTTCAAAATTATAGTTGAAAAGAATCTGTCACTAAACCAACTACAAATCAGAAACATACAGTCAGTATTTACAGTTTTAATCACATTTCTGTAGATCTGAATGAATGGATCTATGAATGAATGAATCTATCTATCTAACATCCATCAGTCCATCCACCCATTTTATCATTCATAGATGGATGGATGAATGGATGTAATTGATAAATGGATGGATAGATGATGAAATGGGTGGATGGATTAATAGATGTTTTAGGTAGTTGTAAGTGTAGGTGATGGGATGGATGGAATTTTCAATCCTTTTTTTCTGCTGCTTGAGCCTGCAGGAAAGAGAAGTGTTATTGTTATTTCAGATCTCTCAACTATTTGTATGCAAACTTTTAATCTTTATTACATATGTGTGTTTGCACCGTTATAGCACTCATCCGATCATCACACACACCCTGAGTTTCTCCAGTAATCCTCCTTTCCCAAAGCCTCCAAAAACACGTAACATTTTCGGAGTGGGTGGTTTTTGTCCAAACATTGCCAATCCCTTCTTCTTTTCTCCTTCATCTTTGACAGGAGCAGCTTTGCCTTTGGCCTTCATCAGTTTCCTGCGCAGAGAATGAATCATCTTTTATTGTAGCCACTGCATTTATCTATTAAATCTGCTCTTGAAGAAACGGTGCATGTTGCACGACCGTGACCCTCTGACTCACCTTCCCTTCCTGGCCAGCACTTTCTGAGACTCAGGGTAATGGACCAGGATGTCACTGAGTTCTTTCTTATCCAGTACAAAAAGGTTGGCGAATCCGTGAGCAGCAACATTTGCTGTTCTTCTGTTGCCTCCATCTTTTGCTGACTGTAAGAGACTGAAAACAAATACACTTTTTTTAGACATTCTTGTTCTTTTTTTTTAAGAAATTAATACTTTTATTCAGCAAGGATGCACTGTAAAAAAAAAATCTGTAAACTGCATTTATCTATTAAATCTGCTCTTGAAGAAACGGTGCATGTTGCACGACCGTGACCCTCTGACTCACCTTCCCTTCCTGGCCAGCACTTTCTGAGACTCAGGGTAATGGACCAGGATGTCACTGAGTTCTTTCTTATCCAGTACAAAAAGGTTGGCGAATCCGTGAGCAGCAACATTTGCTGTTCTTCTGTTGCCTCCATCTTTTGCTGACTGTAAGAGACTGAAAACAAATACACTTTTTTTAGACATTCTTGTTCTTTTTTTTTTTAAGAAATTAATACTTTTATTCAGCAAGGATGCACTGTAAAAAAAAAATCTGTAGTTTTTACAAAAAAAATCTGGCAGCTGTAGTTGCCAGAATAATTTTGTAAAAAATACAGAAAAACTAAACACATTTACGGCCAAAAACTGTAGAAACTCAAGAAAATTTGCATGTAAACCAGTAAATTCAACAATGCACACTGCTATTTAAATCTGTTTTGTATCTTTAACATACTGACAACCACCATAATAATGCAGGTGGTAAAAGAGAAAGCCACATGAAGAATCACAGCTCATCACAAGTAGCTTCACCACAAGCAGAAGTATATACTAATATATAGAAAGTGCACAGAGTCATTCATGCAAACCCAAAACACCATCAGGGTAACACACATGATACTTAAATAATGTATTCAACTTTCATTAAACAACAGAAGATGTAACATAAAGCCCAAATATACATAACTAATAACAAAATCTTTTTAAAAAACATGATTATTTAAACAAAATACTTTAAAATGTGCAGTGTCATGCAGGGAATTCTGGGAATATCAGTTTACAGTTTTTGACTGTAAATTATTCATTGATCTGTTATTTTTACTTCTAAAAAACTGTCAAATTAATAGCATTTTACTGTAAAATTACATGAAATGTCTGGTTAGATATTTTACAGTTTTTCCCTGTATATAGTACGGGAACTTACTGTTAACCTATTAGGTAGCGTTTTTACAAAATGTTACAGTTAAAATTACACTTATTTTTTACAGTGTGCATTAATTTAATGAGATGTGACAGTAAAGACATATATAATGTTATTAAATTAAGTTATTAAATTAATTACATTTAAAAATGTAATCAAATTGCAATACTATTTTATAATATGACTGTTTTTAATGTATTTTTGATCAAATAAATGCAGCCTCAGTTAGATTCTTCTTTTAAAAACATTTACAAAATGTATAGACCCCAAACTTTTGAACAGTAGCCTATATAGATCGTCTGTCAGGTACCTGATCTCTCCGAACACACAGCCTGCCTTCAGAGTCACGAACACAATCTTATTGTCCGGCCCACCGATGACCTGCACCTCTCCGGCTTTAATAATATACATTTCTCTCCCAATGTCACCCTGCATGAAGCAATGGAAGACATTTGCCCATGATAATTGTCTGAATCACTATGTTCAGTCAATATAATATCAGATATACATGGATGATTATATTTGATGTTCTCACCTTCTTACACACAAAGTCTCCTGGCAAGTACACAATAGATTTCAGACGCAGTAACATATCCACAAGCATCTGGTTGTCACAGCCCTAGAAAAATATGTTTGAAATAGCAAAATCTTGAAACAAAATCAATCCCTCACTTGTTTTCTCTTTCTTTCATACTTTGTATCATTCTAACACGGATTTACTTCATAAAAGTGCACCAGAATCGATTAAACATATGCCACCAGTAGGGGTCAGTGGAGTTTTCCCACAAGTTTTTAGAGTGTTGTTTCTTGCTAAAACCTGAAAATTAGCGGTTTAGCACTTCTGGTTCCATTGTCATGAAGTCAATGGGGTTTTGAAGTTGAATGAGTTTAGTTAAATTCCTGAAATAGCTCATATCTATTAAATATTTATCTTGACATAGACATTTGCTAACAAGGAGCTATATTGGACTTCATCTGGTTGGACATTAAACGTAAACTCATTTACTCACTAGTCGCGTTCACAGTTTAACTGTTTATAATCTAACTCTAACTGAAACTTATTTTTTCTTTTACTTTTTTTAACTAAAGTGTAAAGACTGAAATTGTTGTCAGAAACTGTCATGAGATCGTGGTGTAACTACGTTTAGCTTTTTTATATATATATTATATTTAGGCTTCAAAACACATAAAAATTGTGTTAATTTATGAATATTATCATGATGAACAAAATGTGTAAGAATCATAAACTTTTGGTCACAGAGCTTATTTTGTGTAATAATCCAGAAGCCAATAATGTAATATGTAATAATCCAAAGCTTAATGGAAAAATCCTGTTGGGCTGAAGCATCAAAACAATAAAAGAAACGGCTTACATTTTTCCCATAACTAAATCATTGTAACTAATTCATTGTAAATTTAAACCTTTACCAATCCTTCAAAACACTAGGTTTTACCCATTTGTCAGTATTTAATCATTTAAAATATAATACAATTTAGTATGATCACGTTTTCTTTTATATATTTTAAGTACAGTTCCGAATATTAAGTTATGCTGAATGACAATGGAACATTATTTAACTAATATTTTAGCATTTTATTTTCACAAAAGTTATTTAAAACATTAAAGTAGACTGTTTACTTGCATATAATATGCTTTTTCGCATATAAAATCACTAAAGTTAATTTAATGCGGACACCAAAATGGGACGTTTCCTCTTTGACCCACATGCAACACTCCGAAAAACGTCAATATTAGCAAATTTTTTAACTTTATTTGACTTTATATATTTCACTGACAATATTAAGTTTTACCTTGAAGAGGTCAATCTTCTGGAAGGTGGCGAGGTTGATGTCCACAGCGATGGCTGTTCTCATGACCAGAGGCATCTTTTCTAATAACTCCGATTCATCTGCATAAAAACAAACATTTTTGCATTTTGATCTATAAAAATTAGCATCTGTTTAGATTTATTGTAACTGTATAAACGATCACTCCAAAGCTAGCTGTATTAATAGAGCACTTCTATTAAGAATTACTCTTACCCAGCATGCCCTGGGAGTCCCAGGTGTAGTTGTACCAGGTGCGTACTCTGTTCTGCACCTGCTTTGGGATGGTGTAGGTGTTCATATACGCCACACAGGAGTCCATAGAGGCGCGGAAGTAGGTCTGACCCGCCGTAGCTGCTCCAATGACATCTCTCATCTGGGTTTAAACAGATTTTGATCAGTGCTGTGAAGTTATTATTCTGGGTCATGTGTTATACGTATTCATTTATTTACCTGTCCAATCAAGCTAGAGAAGACAAAGACTCCTGTGAAGAAGTTCACCAGCTGGAAGACGATCTCAAAGAGCGTATGGGGCTCGGGGAGACCTCCGATAGTGATCAGCGTGCGAGTCGCAAAGTAATAACAGCGGAGATACCTTGGCAAAGAAAAATGACAAAAATGTTATCAGTACAATATTTATTTATTTATTAATATTTTATTTTGGAATGTATTTAAATGTATTGATTTTTTTAACGTGTAAATAATACAAGTAAAAAAATTATTATATAGTATAATTTAATAATTTAAGTATAACATTGTAATTCAATTTTAAATTAAATATATGTATAAAGAGCTACTATTTATGAAATATATGAAATAATGGCAAAAGAAAAAAAAAATTGTTCATACGCATTTCCTTTTCCATCATATGCCCATTTAGTGCTGCCCAGCCCTTCGTATTCTGATGCTACATAGTAAAGGCAGGAGTTTAAATGGAGACAGAAGAGCAGATATCCAGTAGTGCGGCCAACTCTAAAAAAAAGAAAAAGCCCAGCATGACTATTATTATTATCACTCAGACATACAGATATGGATTTAAACACACCCTAACCTTTGCCATTTGCTTATCATGATACCTCAGATTGTTGTGCCTCAAACTTGTTGCTATGACTTACTAAGCAGTCAGACTTATAATTTTCACCTGGTAGGCGATAAGACTCATACGACGCATTTCCTTTTCCATCATATGCCCATTTAGTGCTGCCCAGCCCTTCGTATTCTGATGCTACATAGTAAAGGCAGGAGTTTAAATGGAGACAGAAGAGCAGATATCCAGTAGTGCGGCCAACTCTAAAAAAAAGAAAAAGCCCAGCATGACTATTATTATTATCACTCAGACATACAGATATGGATTTAAACACACCCCTAACCTTTGCCATTTGCTTATCATGATACCTCAGATTGTTGTGCCTCAAACTTGTTGCTATGACTTACTAAGCAGTCAGACTTATAATTTTCACCTGGTAGGCGATAAGACTCATACTCATATTGAAGGAGGGACCTTCCAACCATATCCAAAGACCAAAATAGCAGAGTATTGAGGTGGGTCAGTAAGCAACCACCTAGCAACATGCTAAGCCACTCAGAATAGTAGATTAGCATATATAAATCACACATACCTCCAGATATACGCCTTAGCCATGACGCTTTCCAGACGATCGCTGAACTCAAAAAATGATTGATACTAAAAAGAAAGACGGAATATGTACATTAAATAGAGCTCATTACACAGTACACTAAATACTAATATACAGTTGTACTAGCTGTACAAAACCGTAGTGTAGAACTGCTGTTATTGGTAACTAAAACTATTCAATCATTTTCATGAATTGAAATAAAACTAAAATAAAATAAAACAAATATTAGATGAAAAAATTAATTAGAAATGTTGCCTTAATTGTCAACGAACTGAAATAAGTTTAAGTTGAGTAAGATTAATAAAACTAAAACTGAAATGAAAAAACCAAAGAAAGAAATGGCACATTAAATTAAAGCTATTTTTAAGGCTAAAAATAAACTGAAAATCAATTGAATAAAATGAATTTCAGATATACATAATACTAAAATAACACTCAGAATTAGAAAATAACACTCAGAAAAAAAATCAGAATTAAAGAAAATTGATTGGGCTGGAGAAGTTGAGTAACTGACCCGTATAAACCGGTTTATCCTAAAGATCGATGTAAACCCAAAGTGGAAACACAGCAAATCAAATGGTATTATGCTTATCAGGTCTGTCTGTTGAGAGAAATATTATCAAAATAAAATAAATAAATATATATATTTTTAAATATCCACATTTAATTTTTTTTCATTCCTTTTTTTATTATAATTATTAATCATAGCCTATATATAGGCCTAATTTGTACACACCTGAAATCTGGCAGATTCCCTGTACCTCTGTTTTGCCATTATTCTGTCTTTCTGAGGAAATAAATTTGTAGGTTTTTGAGTGGACGTCCTATTGTCACAATTCCAAAAGTCTTAAGTGTCTACACCAAGATTCACTTACTATGATGTCTCCTGCTTTCACAAACTGTAAGCGTGGCTGAAACATGGTGATATCTATGATGTTCACAAGGTCTGCCAGGATATCAAAAAAGATCCAGAAGGGGATGGTCACAGGCGTGTGGTACGGGAAACACAAACGTGCCGTGGCCAGCCAAACGTTGTAGTTAAAAGCGACTGTGACGACACTCAGCCATTTAATATACCGCCGATCTGGAAGGAAGAACAAACATGTGTAGGCCAATGTTTTGTACTTCAAGAGGCATCTTCAGTTCTCATAGTGTCCTACCTGTGAAAGAGTCAATGGTTGTCCCCAAAAATGCGTCCATCTTGTCTTCGAAAGGTTTGAGAAGTGTGTCTATGCAGGTGCAGTTGATTTTTGGGCAGATGGCTTCAGCCGCCTCCTTCTCGGCCTTCTCCTTCTCCTTCTCCTTCTCAGCTTTCAGCTTTTCCTCTTTCTCCTTCTTTTCTTTCTCCTCTTTTTCTTTCTTCGCCGCCGCTTTCTTGGCATCCTCCTCTTTTTTCTTCTGCTCGGCCTCTTCTCGTTTTATTCTCTCCGCTTCCTGCTTTCTGATCCAGTCTTCCTTTCGGTAAACCGGTGCTGGATATCAACAAGTAGACTAAAGTTTAGAAGAGTACAAACAGATGAATGGATTCCCTGCTGGAAAATCCAGCTAGTTTTTCATGTTTTTTTGCTGGATAAAATTGGTCATTTATAATCATTAGATGGTCCAAGCTGGTGTAGATTAGGGGTGTGCCATATCATACCGTCCACGATAATACCGGTATACATTTTTACATGATACAAAAAGTGTCATATCACGATATCAATGATGCAATGACGTATGGTGTATATGCGTTCCCTAGCGTGCACAACACCACAAACCCAATAGGTGTGTTTGACTTGAAGCAGCGCTGCGCAGACTGATCGTTGTATGACATCAAAGTATCACAAGAGTGGTTCTAGAGCATTTTCGAGCGCACGCTCTTGCCCCTTTTTTTTACATTGCACACATCTGCGGCGCGTTACGGCTCTGCCACCGGAGCTGATCGCGACCACTCTAGTCTAGTCTAGAATAATGCTTGTGTTCATACCAGCCGCGCTGTGCCACGATTCAGAAGCGTCCCAGAAGCGACTCTCAGCACTGCTTCGCTAAAGATAGGCGCCTCGCCTATTTTTGACGGACGTAAATAAGTTGCAAGTCACTCTCGCAGTATTTTGACATCATATATCGATCGCTCTGCTTCAAGTCGAACACACAGCTGCTGCTGCCACCTTATGAAAATAGATTTAAACTTCGAATTAAGAAGTCTGTCATCGATGACAGTAGCTTATTGGAAAAGAATGGAAAATGCCCTTCATTTTGTTTGCACTAATAAATGCTGCTGCCTGCCAGCTGCAATCACCAATAAAACGTTGTTCCATATTTTTTTCTATATCATTATAAATATCGCAAATATTCTTGAAATATCGTGATATAATTTTGAGGCTATATCACCCACCCCTAGTGTAGATGGTTGATAAGAAGGACTAGCAGCTGGTTTTGATCTGGTAGACAGCAACAAACCAGCTATATTTTCCAAAAACCACCTTGACCACCTTAAGCTAGAATGACCTGGTTCTTCCAGCAGGGTAAATAAGTCAAACTGTTAAAAATTTTAAGATTACAAGTCCTTGAGGAACAAAAAATGAGAAACACCTCCTAGATTACAGTATAGATATATCTTGTCCATCAAACAGCAGGATTCAGTGAGACTTTGGATGCGTTTGTAGTACTCACTGATGGGTGGGCTGCGCTCGGGGGACGAGGAGTAGGGGTCTATGACTTTCTCCTTAAAAAGCTCTGTCCTCTCCCGTAGTTTCTTCACGATGTCTCGCAGCTGGTCATCACAGTATCTGTTAATGACGATGGGTGGAGTTGGTGGTGATGGTGCATCCTCACTACGTGAAAAAGACACATAGGAAAGTGCACTTAATTATGTAAAAAAAACCTAGTAGTAGTAGTAGTAAGTTGTAGTAGTAGGTTTAGACTATGGAAAGTCATGAGGATGTTCTGTTTTCCTATTCTAAACCTGAGGCAGAAATGAAAATCAAAGTTTGATTCATCGAGAATATTCAAGTCAAGTGAAATTCATTTGTATAGCACTTTTCACAGTCCTCGTTGTTTCAAAGCAACTTTACAGAAAAGCAAAATGTTGTTGATGTTTATAATATCTTCATATTTTCATGCCTTATAGTCCTAGCTTACAGGGAACATTCTCCAAACATTCTTCTCTCAAAGTTATGAACAAACATTCTTCCACTAACGTTAAAGGGGTCATATGATGCGATTTCAAGTTTTCCTTTCTCTTTAGAGTGTTACAAGCTGATTGTGCATAGATAAGATCCCTGAAGTTGCAAAGACTAAAGTCTCAAAACCAAAGCGATATTCTTTATCAAAGTTAAGACTCTGCCACGCCCCCCTAAAACGGCTCGTTCTAACACGCCCCCACATGTCTACCTCACTATGTGGAAATATTTGCATAATGCGCCCAAATGTGCACGCAAAGAAAGAAGGCGTGGTTTCAGTAACCGCAGTTAGTGTTGAAGCAGCCATGTCAGGGAGACGCTGTGTGTTTCTAGACGAAAGCAAAAGCACTTTATTTGGCCTTCCGAAAGTAGATGCATTTAGGAATCTTTAAGATTACTTACAACAGAACAGCAATGCATTTTATGGA